ATAATGGTCATGGTCATGCATCTACCTTATTAGTCTTGTATCTTCCTTGCTAATTTCTACTTTGTGAAGGGGAGAAAAAGGAGAAGGATAAATCGGCATCTGGTATGGACATTCATTTCAAAATTCTGATAAATGTGTGAGCATGATCTGTACTTGCATTAGTCTATCTGAATCTGTAGAAATGTTGATCTTTGTTCTTGAAATATAAATCAGTTGTAGCCATAGGATACAAATATTGCCAATATTTGATAGAAAACCGACTCGTTATTCCGATTACTGCCGAAAGAAAAAGAATTCTACTGCGTTGTCTGGCACTCGAGAGGGTGATTCTCTCCCAAAATGCTTCCTACTCGGCTTACTGGCCTTCTTTCACTCCGTACCCAGAATTAGCCCTTTTGTGTAAGATCCCACGTCGATTGGAGAGGGGAATGACATCGATTGGAGAGGGAACGAGTGCTAGGACACTGGGCCTTGAAAGGGGGTGAATTGTGAAATCTCACATTGGTTGGGAGGAGAACGAAATATTCTTTATAAGGGTGTGGAAACCTCTACTTAGTAGGCGCATTTTAAAAACCTTTAGAGGAAGTCCAGAGAGAACAATATCTGTTAGTGATGCCCATATTGGCTTGGGCTGTTACACACTTCATATACACCACTTCTTTTGCACCCTCCATATTGGCTTCTCCTATTTACGTAAAAAAATTGACTCTACCCTATCATTTGGGACCAATGCTCGTCTCCACCCTACCCCTCTATGTCATGTTTGAAGGATTATCTGGTTAACCATCGCATGAGGTTTAAACTATGGTGAACACTTACCTAAAGTTTAATATTCAACGAATTTCCTCGGTGCCAAAATGTAGTAGGTCAAACAGTTGTGAGCATAGTGAAAGTGCACAATTTAATCTCCAACGAGTTTCCTCATACACCAAATGTAGTAGGGTTTGACGGTTTGCCCCCATGAGAATAATTAATGTGCATGTTTTAATCTCTTATAAGTTTCTTCGATAGGAAAATGCAGTAGGATTATGGTTTGCCCTTTGAGATTAGTCAAGGTGCACGATTTAATCTTGAATGAGTTTCCTCAGCAGGCAAATGTAGTAGAATTAGATGGAGGTTCCTTCAACACGAAAATGTAGTAGGATAAACGGTATGAACATGAGAATAGTCAATAGTCAAGGTGTGTGATTTAATCTCCAACGAGTATTCTCGACAACTAGGTAGTAAGATCATATGGTTTACCTGGTGACAATAGTCAAGGTGCATGATTTTATCTCTCCTACGAGTTTCTTCAACTACCAAATGTAGTTGGGTTAGACCGTCAAATTTTCTTGTTCTTCGTATCTTTTTCTTTGATATGCAGAATAATAAAGGGTCTCTTCTTAAAGTACTCGTATAGATCAATTGCTCTTTAACACGCGAAGACAACTTTTTTCATTAAAACTTTCAAGTGTTCATGTTCGTATTAGTATTTTATTATTTTTAATCAGATTTTCAAATAAATTTAAATTAGTTGTGGCCATTTTATATTATATATGCTTTTAAATATGCTTAATTAAAATTTTAATAACCAAATATATATATAAAAAAAAATCATTTAGGTTATTTACTTTCAACTTGTTCTCGTTTTTGTTCATTTTAGCTTCGGCGCTTTTGTGTATATATATTAAATTTTATTTTACCAAGCTTCCTTCTCAATAAAATTTTGTATTAAAAAGTTTTTATCGGAAATAAAATGAAATAATTGGAATCAGAATTTTGCAAACAATAACTGTTTTGAAAATATAATAATCAAAAGAACTTAAATAATCAATTTTGAACTTAAATAATCAATTCGAGTATCATTCCCGAATCCTTGGCTTTGTTGTTGAACTCAATAAAAAAAAATTATTGAAAAGTAAAACTAAAAAAACCAAAAAGTATATGAACTTTTACTTGACGTGGCAAGACGCGATTGGTTGCCTCCATCTTGGTGTAACGATTTTAGGTGAGAACGCCCGCAGAGGATCCACAGAAAATTATTTCAAAAAGTAGTTGACACTAGGACTCCCAACGGAACAGTACACGTCGGCATTTAAAAGACGTGCGACTTTGTCACGAAATTCCCGCCTTTTCTATCGGATTTTCCCTTTGGAATAATTTTCCGGGAAATTTTTTTTTATGGAAAATAAAAAAAAAAATATTAATAATAAAAATGAAAATAAGTTTTGAACTTCTCTGTTTTCGATTCTTCTTGTTCTTGTGAAAATTCTTATGGGATCCGGTTTTTCGGTGAGTTAGAATATTCACGGGTGATCCGGTCGATCCACCGACGAAGAACGACGACATTGGTGCTCGTTTCGGATCGTTCGATCTCGATCTGGATCTCAAAAGCCGTATAGAAAACAGGAATCAGAACATTTACAGTTCGTTTTGTTCGATTCGTTTTTGTTTTGGCGAATCCTGATTGGAATTTTCGAGGTATTTGTGTTATTGTTGTTTATGGAGTGGATTGGGTGAATCCAGGGCGGAAAATCCTAAGAACTTGAGGATTTGATTTCTGATTCTACTGAAGAAGAAGAACTGGAGGTAAATTGGTAATTGAATGTCGATTGTCCATTTTTTAGGTTTTGGTTGAGATTTGGAATTCGAGTTTTGTTGCGAACGGAGATAGATTATTGTTTGGGGATTTGTTTAGGTTTTACAGTAATTTTGAAGCAATTAGGGCTCTGTTTATTAACATGAGCGACAAGCAACCGATTAAGTTAGACGACGAACAAATTGCGGAGTTGAGGGAAATCTTTCGGTCGTTCGATCGGAACAACGACGGGAGTTTGACTCAACTCGAACTCGGATCGCTTTTACGATCACTTGGTTTGAAGCCGAGTCCGGATCAGCTTGAGAATTTAATAATGAAGGCCGATACGAACAGCAATGGATTAGTGGAATTTTCAGAGTTCGTAGCTCTGGCGGAGCCGGAGCTGGTATCGGCGAAGTGCCCTTACACAGAGGAGCAATTAAAGCAGCTATTTAGGATGTTTGACAGAGATGGGAATGGGTTTATCACTGCGGCGGAGTTGGCTCACTCGATGGCCAAACTTGGCCACGCTCTCACGGCGGAGGAGCTCACCGGAATGATCAGGGAAGCCGATACCGACGGCGATGGCAGAATCAATTTTCAAGAGTTCTCTCAGGCAATTACTTCTGCTGCATTTGATAATTCCTGGGCTTGATCATTTGCTGGTATCTCTCTCTCTCTCTCTCTCATTGGTTAACTTGCTGCAATTTTCTTTCAATTGAGTTCTAGGAGTTCATAAATGATTTTGATTCACATGTTGGGTCAGTATAAGACATTGAGATTTGAATGTCTGAGCATACATTTGCTACATATGTTTACCATATACTTCTGTAATGTTAGCATAAAATTTGCATCTTAGATTATACTGATCTAGAGCTTTGAAGCCATATCTTTAGTTGTCCATTACACCTTATCAACCTATTTGTAACGATTCAAGGCTACTGCTAGCAAATATTGTCTGTTTTGGTCCGTTATGTATTGTCATCAGCTTTACCGTTTTTAAAACGTGTCTAATAGGGAGAGGTTTCCATACCCTTATAAAGAATGTTTCGTTCCCCTCTCCAACCAGTGTGAGATCTCACAATCCACCCCCTTTGGAGCCCAGAGTCGCACACTGCTCAGTGTCTGGCTCTGATACCATTTGTAACAGTTCAAGCCCACCGCTAGTAGATATTGTCCGCTTTGACATGTTACGTATCACCATCAGCTTGACGATTTTTAAAACGCGTCTAATAGGAGAGGTTTCCACACCCTTATAAGGAATGCTTCGTTTCGTTCCCCATCCGATGTGAGATCTTCTACGGAGTCAGTCCCTGTTGAAACCCTTTCATATCTAGCGTGTTTACTCAGGAGTAGTTTATTCTTTTACCACTGTAGAAGTTTCTTTTGGTCTATAAATGATTTGTTTAGAAATTCTCGACAAGGTTTAATTGATTAATGCAGCTTGGATCATACATTGTCAAAAATGTTAGCAGTGTTATAGAAACTAGTGGCAACAATTTGAGCATGAAAAACTAAGGTGTGTGCCTGTAAATCTTTTTGCAGTGACTGGAAACAAACAGCAAATGGGTAATATTTGGACGGCAGATGACTGTAACCAACATGACGATCTTGTCAAGAAATTGAAAATGGTTTATGGGTTCAGTTTTGAATTTTGATCAAGTCTGAATCTCTTACCTATTTCTTTGCTTGAAAAAGACTCGAGAAATTCAAGTTTTTAGGTCTCAAATTTGGGCTGTTTATAAAGTTGGAGTCCAAACCAAACACACTGCTGGGATTTTTGTGAAGGATTTTAGTTCCAATTCCAGTTTTTCAATATGGAATGGTGGTGGTAGTTTGATGCTTTCATGTGGTCTTTTATTTATTTTTTTTTTTTTTTGAGATTTTGTTTAATTTCATATTAGTTATTCCCAACAAATTTTTGATCTTCCAACATTTTGAAATCTATGTTATAGCTAATATTGTTAAAATGCTTTCGAGGCAGGTATAAGGCGTCTCTCTTGCTCGTTTAGGGACGAGAAATGCCTAATTGAATAAAATTGTATACATTGTACGTGTTAATGTGAGGATGTAAGAGAGGATGATCGTTGAACAAATGATGAAGATTGCGATATTTAGTCGAGCCAAATTGGATGATTCAATTTAAAAGTTTTATTTTTTTTCCTCACTTTTCAGCAAAATTAATGTAAATGGCAATAGATGCTTTTCTTATTTCAAGAAATTTTTTAATTTTCTTTTTGTTTCTGTAAAAAAGAATGGGGAAATAAAATTTAGATTCTATGAATGCAATTTTAAAAAATTAAAACTAAATTGTGGGTAATTATTCGTAAAACCAAAAAATAAAAAAAAAATAATACTTAAAAAAAAAAAAAAACCACATTTATTTACATAGCTAGCTTTTAACGTAATTTAGTGGATAAACATACAAAAGTCAATGGTTTGATCTCCGACCCATTAGAATAAAAAAAACAAAAAAAACGAACAGCCAAAGAGTTGTCCTCATGCCTTCTTCCTTTTGGATTTGAGCATCACAATTCCAACAAATATGCCTAATAAGCACAGAAGTACCACACCAGCAAATACAGGTATGAGGATGGCAAATTCCTGTGGTAAGAAATAGCTGTGGATGAAGTGATCACTATCCACAAACGGCTGCCATTAAACAAAGCAAAATACAATTTAAGTTCACGAGCTATGATAAATTTAATTATATCAAATACTCTTAACAATCTCCGATCCAACAAGTAGAAATTAATATTAATTAATAAAAAAATGACATTGCAGGAGTTCAAACACGAAACGCTCTAGTACCAGGTTAAATCACCCATCAATCTAAAAGTTGAAGTAGACGAGTTAAGACAAGTTTAATTATATCAATACTTTAACCGGCAGTAACGCGATCAAGTACATCGAATGAAATCATTTGGTAGAGCATCTATGAACATGGAAGATGAACTTACCAGGATAATGACCCAGAAAGTATAGTAAGTGAAGATGGACAAGCTGGTAAGCGATAGCAAAAATCCAACCGTCTTGTCTGCTAACTCCATTTAGAGGTGTTATTATTTCCTGTGAACAACATACGATACCCATTTGGGTGTCAAGTATTGTAATTATAAGCACTTTACTACCGAGTATTCAATAACAAATCAGTTTGATATTTAGTTATACTCTCTTAAAATCACTTTTAAGTGCTTCTGGATTAACCATTTGCGCCAAAAACACGCATTTTTTTTGGTAAAAAAACCATTAAATTACTTCCAAACTTAGCCTAAATATACAGATTACCATGTACCTATAAGGAATCTCTCCCTAACAACAACCTGCAATAACGCTAAGTAACACAAAATGCACCAGAAACCAGTGATGGAACAGGGGGAGACACTGTTCTATTGATAATGGCTCGGAAGACGAATGATTACAAGGAACTAAACAATAGGAAAATACACAAACAGGAAACAAACTTCTCCAGCTACTTCGAGAGAGCTGGGAGCATCTCCTACTCAAAAGCCTTAGCCACACAACTCGTAAAAGAGCTTACATGTACTCAAATCCCAAAATAACGACACTCCCCTTGCCGACTTGCCGTACAACAACAACGCGCTCATACCCCCCTTACTCATGTCTGATTACCCTCCTTTCCCTTTTTCCCCCCTCCTACCATATGTTTGGGTAATTTGGGGCCTTGCAGTACCATTAGGCACAACGTGTGTCATCCCATGTTGCATTGCTTTGGCCTGCTATATGAATTCAGTCGACTACTAGACAAGAGTTCACAACAAGGGGAAGCTTTACCCTTATTAGTACTTACTGCCAATCTCATCAAAAAGCTCTCAGATATTTTAGTAGATCATTAATTTTGACAAGTCATTCAAGTGAAAACAATTATCTCTCACGTATTTAAACTAGATTGTTAAGTAAATAATCTTATTTCATTTGATTCTGGGATTAGTATGATCTTTCATAAAGATAAGATATACGATCAGCCTAATCCATCGTGATATTATGTAATGGTCCAAGCTCACCGCTAGCATATATTATTCTCTTTAGACTCTTCCTTTCGGGCTTCCCCTCAAGATTTTTAAAACGCGTCTGCTAGGGAGAGGTTTCCACTCATAAAGGATGTTTCGTTCTCCTCCCTAACCGATGTGGGATCTCACACATTATAGATCGATGTGCATCCTGGTGCTAATAGACAATAATAAATAAATAAACCAGAACAAACTCCGTCATCAACATACGGGAATGCACATGTAGATGACATCCAGACATCAAAAAATAACTAGAACTTTCTTCTAGACCCCAGCCTATGATTTGTATTACCCTCATGTGTACATTTTTCTCAATGAAGGAGTTTTTTCAATGAAAAAGTTCCTTATTGTATATTAAGTAAGAGGAACATCAGGTGAACAATTCAGAACCATATGTTTGAATTAGATTATTATTGATTCTTAGTCTTCCATTCCTATAGGTGGATTGTAAGAAATACACCACAAGGATGACATGCAATTCAATATTTAGAACGCAAATCAAACTTCAAGAGAATAAGAGCACGAAAACCTAGAGCAAAGGTTTCATAACCATCCAAGAAAGATCTAACTTGTACTAGATCCAGGTGTGAATCAAATTTCAAAACTGGCAAAACAGAACATCTAATAGTCTCACAAATGCACTTCCACTGGCATGGAGGACCTGAAATGGATTCCAGAAGACTTGAGATCAGCACACTGGGACCATAAATACCTACGAAATACGTTTAGACATGAAGATGGGACCTTATTGGCTTGCAAAGGGGATATAGAAAAGAAGAAGCAAAATCTAAAACCTTAAAAGGTAGAAGAGGTGGGTCCTAATTATAAAGTAAGAGACTGCTTCGAAATACGACGTTTGAATTTTGAAACAGAACGATAGAATTTTGCTTAAAAAAAACAGTAGTTTTAAAAAATGTTTTCGTTTTTGGAATTTGGCTAAGAATTCAAATCTTTCCATGAAAATTGTTACAAAAAATAGGGAGAAAACAAACACAACGCTAAGAAATCTAAAAACAAAAACCAAATGGTTATCAAACTAGACCTAAACAATGAAGGAGAAGTATTCAATAGCCAATACCGTCTGTGTCTTGCAGACAATTACTAAATTCGAACCAAAAATGCACATTGCGTATGGTATCATGAAGCAATCTAATCACAAACAATCTTCATACCATAACTTGAACATTGTAGGTTTTTGTTCTTTCTTTCCCTGTTATTTCTTCTGTAATTTTTGTTTTCACGAATAGTCCTGCTAATCTTCAACACTTCTAAGGGAAAAAAGAGCAATGTAAAGAAATTGAATCTAATGGTGCTGGAGATATAGTAAACAGATGCAGCCAACATCGATCAAGCTAATCATAGTATCACCTTAAAAATTCAATTCAGTTCCTCTAAACACAGATTAATATTTGCAGAGCTCATTTTTTCAAATGAAATCAAGGAATTCGCGCAATAAAAATCGAAACCAAGATCAAAGATCGTCGAAATTTTAGCAGCAAGAGTTAATCGACGTGATACAGATTAGCATGGTATAAAGCTCATACCCGATTCTTCGTCGCCGGAAAATGTTGGAAGGATTAAGGAATGAGACAGAATCTGGAAAGGTTTTTCCGAAGAATGATCCAATTTGGAAGTGCTAAATTCGATAACCCATGTGAGAAAAATGAAGAATGTTGGACTTGTTCTTCCAAATTACGTTTCTGCCCTCATTATTTACTCTTATTTATACTATTGGTCGGGATATTTATTTTTTTAAAAAAAGATCATTTTATTAAAGCCGAATTAAATTCACGCCAATAAAGTGAATCGACATTTTAATTATATCATTAAAAAAATTAATGAAGCCTAAGAAAATAAACAATAAAATATAACCAATATGAATATAATATAAGCGATAAAATTTTGAAATTATTTAACAATAAAATATTTATTAATTAATTTAATTTTTTTTATAAAAACAAAGTTAATAAATATCCATCAGCACCGATGTTTTATCATTCTCAAATAATTGAGCTACAAATGAGAAAACACGTGCCTTATAATTTTGAAAAAACTAGCTCGTAGTATGTGTAGCATGTGTTGCATACTCACTCATAAGCACTTCGTATATTCTAGTGGCTCGAGTCATATGTATCATAAAAAGGTGAAAGTCGATACTTTAACCTCCTTAGTGGCTCGAGTCATATGTATCATAAAAAGATGAAACGTCGATACTCGAACCTCCTTAGATAAGTTCTAAAGCATTTCTTATTTACAAACCTAACCTACAAAGTGACGTGAATCTTACTATCGGCATATTTTCATAGACTCGAAGTCTTCAAACGCCACGACTAAGAGAAGTGGAATTCAAAATTTAGAGATGCAAGAAAGACGAGCAAATTCTTCACTTTTCTTTTCTGTGGTAACAAAAGGGTACAACTTGTAAAGCATATATATGTTTCTAAAGGCGAATCAACCTCTAACGAAGTCTCTTCTGGATCGATGTTAATAAATTTTCGTAACAACAGTACGCAGAAACCAAAGAAAACCAGTTATCCACCAAATGTTCAAGCGCCAAGAAGCAGACCAGAAAATCTAAGCATTCAATTGGTGCAGCTTCTGTTTTCAGTTGCCATGATGATGTCCTATGATCTTGTTGTAGCATGTTCATGTGAATCCTTCCTGTCTCAACAAAATGGAAGAGAACAGTGAACTTTTGTTCCTAGTTTTGCAGCATCCATTGCCTTATATCCTCCCGAATGACCCCGCCATGCCATCCTCTTCCTCCGTATCTTGGTCGAGGCGCTTCAGGTGTCAAAATACCAAAATGTCTATGCTGGATCATAGTTGTGGCTGGGTTTGAAGGCTTCATCGTCATGGAAATTGTAGGAAATTGCTTAGGCCATAGGTTTGTTGATGAGGTAAATAATTGTCTAGAAGATTTTGGCTTCTTCAGGACCTGGGAGCTCTCTGGATTTTTCGAGACGGAGGTGCTGGAAATCTGCTTTGTCGCGTTTTTGATCGATCCACCATCTTGTTTACGGATTTGAGCTGATGGTTTATATCTGTCGAGCAGTCGTAGAATCCAGTTACCAAGATTCCGACCAACTTCTAAGTCTCTCTGCTGTATGTTCAGATGAACCTTTAATGCTACATCAAACACGATACGGGTACGTCTGCAGAAGAAATGGCGACAGGCAGAATATTTCACATTCATGGTTATTGAAAGTATCGTATCAATAAGAAACCAGGACATTATGACTTAATGAGTGGCACCATATTATGTACGAAGAGAGGAATGTCATCATAGAAAAAACTGTTCTAAATTACAGTCCTTTATCTGTTCACCTTTAAACCAACACAACAAAGACAATCTACCGTCTCATACTAGAGTAACAAGAAACAAATTACACAAGAAAACGAGAGAGTTAATTCTCCTTCTCATAATCATGATGCGGTTACATGCACATGCTAACTTTTCTATGCACTTGTGAGATCCCATATCGGTTTGGAAGAGAACTAAGCATTGTTCATAAGGGTGTGGAAACCTCTCCCTAGCAAACGCGTTCTAAAAACCTTGAGAGGAAGCCCGAAAGGGAAAGCCCAGCCTGAAAGAAAAAGCCCAAAAAAGACAATATCGGCTAGTAGTGGGCTTGAGTTATTACAAATGGTATCAGAGCCAAACACTGGATGATGTGCCAGCGAGGAGGCTAAGCCCCAAAAGAGGATGGACACGAGGTGGTGTGTCTCTAAGGATGCTAGGCCCTGAAGGGGGGTGGATTGTGAGATCCCACATCAGTTGGAGAGGAGAACGGAGCATTCTTTAAAACGGTGTGGAAACCTCTCCCTAGCAAACGCGTTATAAAAACCTTGAGAGGAAGCTCAAAAGGGAAAATCCAAAGAAGACAATATCTGCTAGCGGTGGACTTTGATTGTTACAACACTCCTCTCATTGTAGCCCAATTTAAAGACCAATGAACATGGCTTTTACTCATCATCATCATTATTTATATTATAATCAGAATGTTCATGCTCACATCTATCATATCTTGCATTGTGTTCGTGGTTCACCGTGCAAAATTCTCAGGGAGGCTTAGCCTACCCCAAAGCCAGCTCGGAGACAAATAGCTTAAAGGCTTTTAAACCTCGGAAGGTATCTAAGCCCTTACTGCTATGGCATACCTTGAGGTTCCCATCATTATGATCCATAAGACTTTACTTTTCATGCTTTATAATTCTTGGAACAAACTAACACGCTTCATAATTATGAGCCTCAAAACAATAATCACAGACCATGACAAAATGTTCTGATTATTCTTCAGAAAGGTGGATTTTCACCCAATGTTAGAATTACAAGATCTAAAAAGGTATTGGTGCTTTATAATTCTTGGAACAAACTTCCATGCTTCATAATTATGAGCATTAAAACAAAAATCATAGCAACCATGACAAGATGTCCTGATCATGCTTCAAAAGGGTGGATTTTCACCCCATGCTAGAACCATAAGATCTAAACAATATTGGTGCTTTATAATTCTTGGAACAAACTTCCATGCTTCAAAATTATGAGCCTTGAAACAATAATCACAGCCCATGACAAAATGTCCTGATCATGCTTCAAAAGGGTGGATTTTCCACTCCATGTTAGAACTATAAGATCTAAGAACTATTGGTGCATTCATTATAAAAATGAACTGCTGTTGGAAGGTGAAAGGGATGATAGAAGTGCTGGAATTGATCATCAAGCATGAGAGTGAAAAATGAGAGAAAGGAAGAAGAGAACCCCTCATTAATGCCACTTGAAAATGATCCAAGAGATTAACTCATCAACCTAACCTCCAAATTACAAATCATAACATCCCCCTAGGAAGCTGAAAGGCAAATCAAATTATATATCTATTTAAACCGAAGATTTGGTAACAAAGAAAACGAGATGCCAAAATTTGATAACAATAGTCAATTTCTTACACAGAACAACATTACAAAGAGCAGCAAAATGAAAGATTCTTCAACCTTCCCATAAACTTCTTGATGCAAGAAAAAACTCTTGGTTCGTAAAACAGATAATCCTCCATTTCATCAGATCAAATCATCTTCGAACAAACGAATTGAATGAAATGAAGGATAAAATCGAAACCCAAAACAGGGTTTATCTCAATTCGAACTCGCGATTGGAAAAGAAAGCCGAATCAACAAATAACACAACACAGAAACACATTTCCAGCTCAAATTCCATCATCATCGAATCAACAGATCAAAAGAAGACAGAAATTGAAATTACCGGTGAAGAAACTGACGGATCTTGGGAAACTTTGGGCTGACGATACGGCGTTGAAGCTTGAGGGCGAGGCGATATGTTCGCTTGAGCCCCAAGAAATAGGCTGTTCCAAGAGTGATCTCCCATAGAACCATTTCACTCTCTCTCTAGAACTTTCTTCTGCTTCTCTCTGCAACTCGTTCTGTTCTGTGGCATTTGAAGAATCGGTTCTTCGCTGTTTTCGTCTCCCCCAAGTTCCGCATTTTTACCGCTAAAATCACCGATGACGTAGGAAAATCATATTGGCCGTTGATTTTTTATTCTGATCAATCTCAGCCGTTGGTTTGTTTTTATTAATTTATGAAATAAATTACTTTTTTTTTCCTGCTAATCGAGTTTAATTTCCTTAATTAACGTCTCCTTAAATAATTAAGGAGCTAATGTCACAATTTTTAAATTATTTTGAAAAGAAGTTATTTAATGAAGAAATACATAATTGTGTTGTATTTAATAAATATAAATATTATTCGTAAATCTTTTTAAATTATTATTATTATTTTTTATTTTTAATGAAATTAAAAATAGTTTTGAAATGTTCCTCAAAAATCAACCTTGTCCTTTGCTTAAAATAAAATACTCAATATTCTCAAAATATTATATGAATGTTTCAAAACTACACGGAGTAAAGATTGAAATTAGGGACCCGAACGTTGTCACATCATTCCATGTCTCAATCTGAATAGAATTCTACTACGAGGACAACTTTGAAACATTTAAACAAATGATAAGGTTCAATTGTATTTTTTGGTTATCCCCGAAAAGACGGTTTGTTGTTTTGACCTATATAGCCGGATGGGTACAAAAAACCGAATTTCCATCGAGATAACGAAACAAAAAAATCAAGAACGCGCAATTACCCCCTATTTGTGAAGTACCCCTCTTCCTATTCAGAGGGTTGAGGCGAGAAATGGCTTGATGAACCGTTCCGTTCACCACACACCGCCCCCATTCACTTGCTTATCGTAGAAGCTTTCGGTATAGAGTGCCCCACAACTATTAATAGTATAGTGGAGTTGAAACACGAGAGTGCCCGCCCTTTTTTTCACACTGGCCTAAGTCAGTCTTTTAGTAAGCGTTATACACGATTGGTGTCTCCCTAAACGGGTAAGCAGCATTCAGGGTCTAAAGAACAAAATTGTAAAAGAAAATAATCACTGAAATCCAAAGACAAGCCAGAACTGCACTGATACATAAGCATTGTAGAAAGAGCAGAGACTTTGTTGACAATAATGAAAAATCTGCTGTTTTAAAATTCTTGCAGATGAAGATATCTTATGCAATGAAGAGTCCGACCACTAATTCAGGAAGAAATCTACTCTATATTTTCATCCTAATATATATATATATATATATATATATATATATATATATAGCCATGCCAGATTTGAAGGTGAAATACACATTACAGCTACAAGAACTTTCAGGCATAGATATCAACAAATGTGACAACAATTTAGAGGATCAGACCTTGAGCGGGTTCGGGCTTGGGACGTTGTTGAGGCTCAGGGGGCACAGGTGCTGCTGCTTTAGGGGATTCGGGGAGATGCAAAGTTTCGACCGTCATCTTCTTTTTCTGATCTTCTTCAGACACCGCGATTTTCTCTTTTGTTTTCTGACCAACTTCTCCAGCTGCCTTGGCTACCTTATTGAAAGTATCAGCAACCCAGCTAGTCCCACTCTTTACATATCGGTTACTCATAATGGCAGCTCCAGCATTGCTAACTTTCTCTTCTGCAACTGCAAATGCTGATTTAGTCTTCTCTGAAACCTGAAACTTCTGGTCTACTTCTCGAACTTTTTCGCCCACCAAAACCGTTCCAGCGCTAAGTTTCTCAGTGAACCCGATTTTTTTATCCAATGTAGCTACTTTGGCTGAAGCTGTGGAAGATAATTGGTGCTTCTCATCAAATGCCTTTGCAGAGTTGAGTGCATCTTTGCCCAAGATAAAGCCCTTAGCAAGCATACTGCTGACCACATCCTCTGCTTTCTGATAGGCGGATTCAGCCGTTCCAGGTGCATTAGTTCCAGGGGCCTGCAACAATCAAGACAATAAGCTGGTAAACTAAGAGAAATCATATAAAGTGACACACATAGCAGCCCAAAAAACAAACAGTCCCAAGAATCTTACAGGGGGTGGTGCGGTAGCTTCAGGGGGGAGCACATAATCAGGACATGGAGTGATGTTGACAGAAAGATCCACTATTGTCGCTCCCTGACAAGAAGTTGAGCTCCATTAATTAACTAGCTCGGGCGATTCGTATTGCTGTTTCTCATTAGTTAATACGTTAAGTATAACGAGTGATGAATGTAAGAAAAAAAATCAAACAATATGCATCTCAAGGAAAGAGAAATGGGGCAATTTTATTGATGCAGAACAAACTTCCAGCTAAGGTCTATCTTATACTCCCACATAATAGAAGAGCAATCAAGCCAAAATTTGACCTCCTGATGTTTGCACCGAAGGTCGTGTCCCTTAGACCATTTAACTCGTTAAGTGGCAAAATGCTCACTCATATCATACATCATGTGATTGTAAAATGGCAACAAGATCCATCTAATACATATATTGGGGCTCGCACCGAGGATGGAGGTGGAAATGATGTAAGGTACAAGTAAAAGAGAACAGAAGAAGAAATGCTAAGGTGCTCGCTGATCTCTTCTAGTGGTGATGTAACGGCCCAAGCCCACCGCTAGCAGATATCGTCCTCTTTGGGCTTTTTCTTTCGGACTTCTCCTCAAGGTTTTTACAACGCATATGCTAGGAGAGGTTTCCATACCCTTATAAAAAATGTTCGTTCTCCTCCTCAACCGATGTGGAATCTCCCAGGTGAGGTTGTTATAGCAACATCCTCTCCCTAGATGAAGGCTATGTGACGTGACCACTAATAACAGCCATGAACACCATTTTAAGCTTGAACAACCATATTGCCAACAATATTTCAACTTTGACTCACAGCTCCACTAATAATGGAATCTTTGAGAGTTATATCTTAAATGCCAATAGGTATGAAACTTATAATTACCGCGACCTAGAGACTTTGTCTACAAAGTGAACTTACAGACAAAAGAATGGCAGTCTCTGCTCCTTGTGTATCCTTAAAGGTTACGTAAGCGATTTGAGACCGTTCACTTTCACTGCAAAAGAATAAAAACATTGAACGAAAAGAATATATATCATAAACTGAAATGAAAACCTGCACAACCTCTGCATTTCAACATATGCAATGTCGCCCGAGAAGGAAAAAAACTCCTTGAGATCTCGTTCAGACGCTCCCAAGGAGACATTGCTGACTTTAACAGTTTTAACCTGCACATACAGAACAAAGCAGTTCAGACAAAGATCAAGAAATCTCCCACTATCTCCAAGAAGGTGCATAAATTCATTGCTACAGCTGAACAGTGATCAACATAAGTCAGAAAGAGAGTAAAAAAAATCAGCTATGTCCAGAAAAGAAATGAAAAGCAAAAAGGAAAATCTCATGGGTGCAGCCAAGAAAACGATGGACATCAACAAGCCAAGCAGCAATAGTAATCCAAAGGGAGCGAAGATTACACACTTCGAAGTATTAATTACAGGCATGACGTTCCTGGTTTTAATTTCGAATGTATGCTTCTATGCAGGTCCAGGTTCAGTAGGAGGAACGAACGTGGAACAGATTCAAAATACATTTCATCGATCAAAACATAGAAATGGACCAATTTGCTTAAACATAAATCCTAATTCTTGATACACTGAATGGGAAAATCTCGACATGATACAAAACCCTCAAATGGGAAAATCAAACGGGAAAATAAACCACAAGAGATCTAATCCCTTGGCCGCACATTGCACTAATTTGTAATAACTCCAAAGAAAAACTACAGAGTAAGGGTCCAAATCTAACCCAATGGAATCCTTCCCCAACGATTTTCCACTTCGCAATCAGAATCTTCAAACGCGATGAAAAGAGAGGGAAATTCACGAAGTACTAACCGACATTGCTAGAAATGACGAACATAAATCGCCGGAACAGATATCGAATCAACCGACGATCGCCGGAAAACTGAAATCTACACGAAATTAGAACGAAAAGCTTGATTCTGAATTTAGGATTGCCTCTCAGTGTGTCCAAGTCTTCGTCGCCCCTGATGAAAGAAAAATAGCTACGACACGAACAAACGAGGCTTCGTTTTAACGGATATTCATAGAGTCGAAATATTTGGCATTAGGGACGTGTTTTACACGCGCTATTACGCGCGTAAACGAACCGTCATGGATTCGAAACGGATATAACGGGACGGGGGTATTTCCATAACGGGGCGGCCTTCTGCACGGAAACTGTGACAAGCCACGTTGCAACTTACAGATTGTCTCTTCTATGTGCAATTACCAAATCAGCCTTAATTATTTTTAAATTTTGAATTAAATTACAAATTGGCCCTAGCCCATATGGTTATTTTAAAGTTTTTAAAACACAAATTTTAAATTTTAAAAATTTATTATATTTTTTTGTTTAATTCTCTTCAATATAAATTAAAAATTTTAGATATTAAACAAAATTTTTAAATGAATTTATTTTATTTCTTTATTTGATAGATTGGTTTATATTATTATCATAGGATAAATAAAAATAAGCTTATTTTATTAAACATTTGGTCGGTTTCTTATTTTTAGTCCATATGAATACAAACATACGTATTAAACAAATTAAATTATGAGCCGACCCATTCAAATTAAAAAATACAAAAGTCGTTTATCTACACCTTATAAATTACCTGCTATACGAGTATCTGTAAATGACATGACATGAGTACGAGAAGCCCAATGCATCGATAGAGGCAATGAGATAAACAATACGTGGGTCCATTCTCGATGGCATGACTGGGTAAGCTACGATAGCTGACGACACCCCATGACTTGAGATGGTGTCAAGACATGAGGGTCATATTAAATAGGAACCAAGATAAGACGATGAGAAGCGACGTTGCATTTCGAGACATGAGAGCCGTATTAATTGGGAACCAAGATGGGATGATGGGAAGGGACATTGCATTGAGAGACCTTGGGCGCGCGGGCATGTGTGGTCATCTAACGACCCAGATCCACCGCTAGCAGATATTGTTCTCTTTGGGCTTTTTCTTTCGGGCTTCCCCTCAAGACTTTAAAACGTGTCTGCTAGGGGAAGGTTTCCACACTCTTATAAATGGTGGTTTGTTATCCTCCCCAACCAATGTGGAACATCACAATCTACCCCATTCGGGGCCCAGCGTTCTCGTTAGCACTCTTTTCTTCCTCCAATCGACGTGGGACTGCCCCCAAATCCACCCCCCTTGGGGCCAGCGTCCTTACTGACACACCGCCTCGTGTCTACCCGCCTTCGGGGAACAGCGAGAACGCTGACACATCGTCTGGTGTCTGGCTCTGATACCATTTGTAAGGGTGTGGAAACCTTCCCCAGTAGACGCGTTTTAAAGCCTTGAGGGAAAGTCCGAAAGAGAAAGTCCAAAGAGGACAATATCTGCTAGCGATGGATCTGGGTCGTTACAGGTCAAACAAACTTAGATTCCACACAAGGATGTTTGGTCGATGAATACAAATCTCGCCTAAGTTATGAGCGTGTTCAGATCATATTATTGGGTAGTTGAAAAAGTACAATTGTGACTGTTGTTAGAAATAATAACTATTAATTAAAAAAAAAAAGTGAATTAAAATAATAATATTAATGCCTTGGTTCTTCTCGATTTCCGACTTATCTCAGCCACACACGTGTCCACAATTACAGGTCATCATCATCTTGACGAGACACACACACACCATAACAAAACTCTTCCACCTCTTCAAATCATTATTCCATTTCTCTCTCCTCCATCATCGTCTTCCCCTCTCTCTCTAAAAACTTGAATTCCTCTCGCCTTTCATTGCGAATTCCTCAAAGGCCAATCTTCAATTGCCCTAATTCGTCCCTTTCCCCATTTGAGGATTCCTCTGATCCTCGATTACAGGAACGCCTTCATCTTTGTCGCGGATCCTCTTTTCCAGGGGAGAATTTGTTCTGTTGTTCTTGAATTTTGCTTTGTTTTCAATCGAGTTCTTCTTGTTTTGCTCTCTTCGGAAATTTAGGATCTCGGCGACATGAGCTTTCAAGATATCGAGGCTGGTCGCCCGTTTGCTTCTTCGAGGAGAGACCTCATCAATGGCAAACAAGATCCCACGCAAGCCGTTGCCTCAGGTATATTTCAGATTAATACTGCCGTTGCTACGTTTCAGAGGCTTGTTAACACCTTAGGTACGCCGAAGGATACGCCTGAGCTACGGGAGAAGCTGTGAGTTCTGTTATTTGATTTGGTTTTTTTGGTTTCTTGTTGTTGGTTTGCTGTTAGGGTTCCTGAATTTTGTGTCTCGTCGATGACATGCATGGCATTTTCAATGGATTGTTGAATTTTGTGAATTGTAGTCTGTTTTTTTGGAGTTTCGAATCGCTATTACTTTGAGGAGGATTCAACGTTGCGATTAGCCTCCTGTTGATTGTCCCGTATAAACCTTAGGTTTCTTTTGAATTTTGTCTTGTACGTTATCCTTGCCGTTTGCTTTTCCCCTGATGGAGAGGTTATCTTGGAAAAGATTCAGACCGTGGAAAAGATCTGCATGGGGTATATCCAAGTCCTACATTTCTTCGCCATGAACTTTCTAGAGCTCGTAGTGTTTTGTCTTTCCGCTGGTTTTTGGGGGCAGTATTGGAAGGTTAAAGAAACCATATGAGATATCATTGGGTCCACTCGGTTGGAATTTCCATATACGTAACTATTCCATCTACTTTGTCATTTCTTATCAGGAGTATACTCAACACAAGGAGGAACAGAAGTTTCTAGGGGCCGGGGGTGGGGGTTGAGGGAGCCATATTCTCTGCATTTTGTATTCTATAGAACCAAAGGACAATAGGCGACACGTGTTTCTGATGTTTAAAACGAGCTTAATCTTCTCTTAGATTTTCCAAAATCGTAAGGATTAATTACTGTACAAATATGATGAAATTCTGCTCATTTAGTTGTAACTTACAGTTAACATCATAGTTTTAGTTTGTTTATTACTGGAATATAAAATGGCATCCAAATACATTGGAGAGAAATTTAATCTAGTATCTCATATTATACTGCTTGACACATTTCCTATGATTTCTCTCACTTGGTTGCTGTAGGGACTGTTTATAAAGAACTGCTCCCTGTCTTCATGGTTGCCTCTGCAAATACCACACTAGTACAACTAATAAATGTGTCGTTATCTTGTATGAATAACATCAGTAGGATTTGTCCTTGTAAAAAAAGCACTGCTATACTCCGTTCACTCCAAACAATCTCTTTAACATGATATACAAGTATAGTTATAGATGATCTGTTGCATTTTTTGCCCCAGTATGATGATAAATAAATCTTTCCCATCAATATTGAATTCAAACTGAAATAGATAGATTACAAAACACCTAGGTTAGGATCTCTTAGTAATTTCATCCTTGGTTTTTGTGTGCCCTTTTTGTTCAATTTTCAGGAAAGTGGTTATGCCCATGTATTATCATAACTTATAAACCTCTAATTTGAAATAACTATTGGCTGTTCAACTGACATGCTTAAATCTTCATTGGGTTATTAAACTTACCTCGACAATTATCTTAGATACACTGCTATTTTATTTGTCTGCAATTTCCATGTTGATATTTTTTCCTATCAGAAAATGTTTGATCCTTTGTTGATGACCCCCTGCAGGCACAAGACCAGGTTACATATTGGACAGTTGGTTAAAGATACCTCTGCCAAACTTAAACAAGCCAGTGAAATAGATCATCATGCAGAAGTTAATGTAAGATTCTTTCTTAACACTCCTCTGATCAATAGTCTCCCCCCAGCTTCTTTGTGTTAAGTGTTAGCATGGCGAGTAAGTAATCTCCAAAAATCTCCTCTCATGATTATTATGACTTGTTAGCATGATTAGGAGATTTAACTTCTCTGATTTGAATGCATTTTGGATTTGGTTAGTATAAAATTATGAATTGGCACTCTATGATGGCAGGTTGTATTATCTAGTTTCCACCACTATCTATCATTTCACTTGCACAGTTTTATATAAATTGATATAGTGGCCATTGTTGTAGTCTGAATACCCATCTGGAAAATTGTGGGTTGTTTACTGAGATCCCGATTCTACAACCTACTGTCAGTGAGATGGTGAGAAAATGTTGAGCTTGGATGTCAAATCCTACTTGCTTGGCAGGAGCAAAATCTCTCTTTATTGTGGTAGAATTGGAATAATTTTCATGCTGAACCATTAACGAGGATGGAGTATGAATATATGAGTTAGTGCATGAAGTATATTACTACCTACGCTAGTAACTTGAAAATTATTCCTCTCCTACTTTCTCAAACAATGTGGTAATTCTGCAGGCCAGCAAGAAAATTGCAGATGCTAAACTTGCAAAAGATTTTCAAGCAGTGTTGAAAGAATTTCAGAAGGCTCAACGACTTGCAGCTGAGAGGGAAACAGCATATACACCTTTTGTTCCCCAGACTGTTCTACCTTCTAGGTATGTCAAGTTTATTATATAAACACAGCTAACAAACGTTGGTTATTTTCATGGAGTGTTTGTTGATTACAAACTACATTGGATTTACTTGAAAAAATTTCTTTCCCTCGGTTCTGGTCTATACAGCTACACAGCAGGCGAATCAGATGCAAGCTCCGAAAAGAATCTTGAACAGCGTGCTCTCCTTGTGGAATCCAGGAGGTAACAGATTTTTTCTCTGCATTTTGTTGCTAGGCGGTTGATTATTTGGGTTAGATTTAGAATTTCAGAAAGTAGGAATGTTTATGCAGTTGAATTTATGTTTCAAATACTGTGCACTGTGCACAGATGAAATGTTTGACCCGTATATGCAAGAACATGATTTCGTATAAAAACATAGTGCTAAAAACTCTTTATATGAGCTTAAATTTGTCTTCCTTTTAGGGGTTGTTTCTTCAGTAGTGTTATTTTGTTGCAAAAAGCGAAGTATTGCCAGAATTAACAGCCGAGGAATAAACTAGCGGTTTTCTCCTTCCAAATCATGAATTCTAAGGCCTGTCTAGGTTTCACAGGATGTGCTTTCCTGCATATTGTTTTCTACCATGCTACCTACAAATTTTATTTAAAATTTGCTCCCTCTTCCCCACGTTACAGCTTGATTACAATTAGGCAGGTACATGCACATCTTACTAACTTGATTGAATGATTTGTCTAGACAAGAGGTGTTGCTGTTGGACAATGAAATCGCCTACATGCATATCTTACTAATTTGATTGAATGATTTGTGCAGACAAGAGGTCTTGCTGTTGGACAATGAAATCGCCTTCAATGAGGCAATAATTGAGGAAAGAGAGCAAGGTATTCATGAAATCCAGCACCAAATTGGAGAAGTGAATGAAATTTTTAAAGATCTTGCAGTTTTAGTCCATGAACAGGGAGCCATGATTGGTAAGTCACTTCAGTTTATAAAGTTGTAGATATATGTATAGCTCAAGTTATTCATGTATATATCACCATGGTGTAGATGATATTGGATCCAACATAGAGGGCTCCCATGCTGCAACATCACAGGGAACAACTCAGCTGGTAAAAGCCTCAAAGACGCAAAGATCAAATTCATCTCTGGTGAGCCCTTATGTTTCCTTATATTCATCATTAACTTTTTTTTTATATCAATTAGACCATGAGTTGCAGCAGGTTGTGTGCAATACTTCATTTAGCACTTTTGCGTCGTGACTGTTAGCGGATAGTACAGTCTTCATTTAGTTTGTTATGTTCCCATTTGGAAGTAAAACTCATATGAAGGTAAAACTTGCATACCTAACATCCACGCATGATCATGAATTGAATATTGGCACTGTGGTATTTGTACTTTCATGCCTATGAACTACAAACATGGTAACTCTGTGGGTGTTTCATGTGATGTTCTTTACATCTAATTCTTTGTTTTGTTTTGTTTTTTTCTTGATTGTCAGGCTTGCTTACTTTTGGTGATATTTGGTATTATCCTCCTGATTGTGATCATAATAGTTGTTGCTTAAATGAAAGAAGAAGAAGTGCATTGACACAGGAAACACTTGCTGCTGTTGTAGCAAGATGAATGTCCTGTTAGTTTCTTTTGATATAACTGTACTTTGTGGTCGTGGATCATCCTGCCTTCTGGGAAAGGGTTGTGGAGGGGCTCTTATGTATAATACTCTATATCCTCAGTCAGGTCGGCCATCCTCTTCTCTTCCATTTGGAAATGTTATAACCTGTGTTGTGTGAAGGTGTGTGCAACCTGTTTGTTTTCTTTTTTTTTTTTTTTTTTTTTTTTTTTTTTTTTTTTTTTTTTTTT